TTCATCCTCAAAACCCATAAACAAAACCATAGGAAATGTGATCTAGACTACACTACAGGCATGTTCACATAGAACAACAAGGTTTATGTTGACCACAATATGTTTTGTATGGTGAATTGGTGACTACAGAGAACATGAATTAATTAATTTTAATAAATTGTTAATGTATTTACAAAATTACCAATTTTGTCATTTTGTTAACAATTTTGCATATTGCTGAGCTTCAGCAGTCTATACTAACATCAATACATTTTCATATTTGCTTAACAGTTTTGGTAAAATCTAAGTCCTGAAGCACAACCAGCTGAGAAGCACTGATCTATAGAACTTGTTTCTTTCTTTCTTTTTCAAATCAGCTGGTGGCGTTAAAAGTTGCAGCCATTGCTAATTGATTTCCTCCACACAATAAGGCTGAGAAAAACCTCTTTGAGCAGCAATGGCTTTCTCTCCCGACACACAAAATCTTCTTTTCTTCTGCAACATACAGTGTATTCAGAGTACAGTAAATCAGGTGGACTGGTGGATAATAATATATCAGCAACAATGGAAACCCTAACACATATTCCCACACGAATGAAATGCGTGCACAAAGCGTGTACAGAAACACATGAAAAGAGATGACATATGTGTGTCTGTAATGTAACACAGCCTGTTGTAAATAGCAACGCCCCTGCTTTGGCCATAGACAGTGTGGGCTCTCGGGGAGGAATGCCTGTGAGAGAGGGTTAACGAATCTTTCTCGCAGATAGATATTGCCATGGAAACAGCTGCGTGACTGCTTGCAGCTTGTATTCAGTACACACAGGCAAGGGGGGTTGGGGGGGTGGTGTTGTTGAGAATGAAGCAGAGGCAGGACAATAGCGCCAGAAGTACTTTACAATTCTGAGAGCGCTGACGTTCAAAGCACACTTAGCTCGTATTTAAGAATTAAGAAGGATGGAGTCGATTTAAAAAGGAAAACAGAAATCAAGGAAGCTGCCAGTCAGTACCGCCCAATCTCCCCCTTCCTATACCTAGTGTATCTATGCAGTGTGGACATAACATGCCAAGCGGTTTGTGTGGAATTTTGCAGGATGCAGTCTGCTGGCATGCTTTGACACTACACTTCCTGTAGATGCTAAAATGCAGGAAATGCAAAACGAAACCATAAATAAATGAATTAATTAATTAATTGCCAGAGTGCAAAACCTGAGGCAGTGCGGCTTGTTCAAATTGAGAGAGAGAGAGAGAGAGAGAGAGAGAGAGAGAGAGAGAGAGAGACACTATTTGCCATTCACATTGAGCTTAAGAGAAGGATATCAAAAACTTGAAAAAAAAAATCCGTAGTTTTTTTTTTACGATTGTGGTTCGTATTCTACATAGCAGTTACATCAGTGACATTGGTTCTAATATTAAAACCTTATAATAATTTAATTAATAATAATTTATGCATTTAGCAGACGTTTTTATCCAAAGCGACTTACAGTGCATTCAGGCTATACATTTTTTACCAGTATAATAAA